AAAAGGTTTGGGAAACTTCCCGGGAGTTTCCCCCGCCTTTTGCAACCTTTGAAATCTTTGAAATTTTTGAAATCTTTGAAATAGAAATTCCCCCAATACTAAATTACGAGCCCGGGCTTCCACCCAATACTAAATTACGAGCCCGGGCTTCCCCCCAATACTAAATCACGAGCCCGGCCCTTCCCCCCAATACTAAATCACGAGCCCGGGCTTCCCCCCAATACTAAATCACGAGCTTGGGCTCGTAATTTAGTATTGGGGGAATTTCTATTTCAAAGATTTCAAAGATTTCAAAGATTTCAAAGGTTGCAAAAGGTTTGGGAAACTTCCCGGGAGTTTCCCCCGCCTTTTGCAACCTTTGAAATCTTTGAAATCTTTGAAATAGAAATTCCCCCAATACTAAATTACGAGCCCGGGCTTCCCCCCAATACTAAATTACGAGCCCGGGCTTCCCCCCAATACTAAATCACGAGCCCGGCCCTTCCCCCCAATACTAAATCACGAGCCCGGGCTTCCCCCCAGTATTAAATCACGAGCCCGGCCCTCCCCCCAATACTAAATCACGAGCCCGGGCTCGTTATTTAGTATTGGGGGAATTTCTATTTCAAAGATTTCAAAGATTTCAAAGATTTCAAAGGTTGCAAAAGGTTTGGGAAACTTCCCGGGAGTTTCCCTCGCCTTTTGCAACCTTTGAAATCTTTGAAATCTTTGAAATCTTTGAAATAGAAATTCCCCCAATACTAAATTACGAGCCCGGGCTCGTGATTTAGTATTGGGGGGAAGCCCGGGCTCGTGATTTAGTATTGGGGGGAAGCGCGGGCTCGTGATTTAGTATTGGGGGGAAGCGCGGGCTCGTGATTTAGTATTGGGGGGAGGGCCGGGCTCGTGATTTAGTATTGGGGGGAGGCCCGGGCTCGTGATTTAGTATTGGGGGGAAGCCCGGGCTAGGCCCCCAATACTAAACAAAGAGGCTACCTCACATTATACCTAAAGGTCCTTCGTACTTACTCCTTATAGGGTTTAAGTACCCTTAAAATGTAAAATGTTACCCAACTATGACAAAGAAACTGCCCCAGTATCCAGGTGCTTCTGCAGATTCAGAGAAATCACCCGCATTTCATGCAACTTTTTGGAACAAATTGGACCCCACGGGTCCTGAACCTCCACCGTTTGCAATGTCTGACATAAACCCCAAACCCTGCACTTCTGCATCGGAAGGCTCCTTGGACCTGATACGTCCTGAACACACAGCCCTGCACCCTCAATACCGCAGCCTGAGAAACTACTGCGTATATTGTTCCCCTTGTAATCGCGAGAAACTAGCAAGAACAAACTACCAAGAATGCCCATTGAAATTAAACAGACCCCTAACAAAAATGAGGGTGTAATCCCGTGTAAAACAGGACACCGAGGTACCCTTACTTTGGGAAACCGCCAAAGAGGGCACACTTATTGAATGAGGTCCTGGCGCAGAGAAGCCTACTCCATGCCCGCGCCTTGTAGAGCAAAGGCTGCGAGGTTGTGGGTTAAGAATTTCAGGGATTGCCCTTAGAACCCTAAGCCCGAAACCCAAGTAGGTCTTGTGGGTTGAAGCTGTAGGGCTTCAGGCTAAGCACTGCTGAAGAGTTTCTAGGTGCGTGCTAGTGTGTGCTGAGAGTTTAGTGTGTAAGGCTTTGAGGGCCTTAGGCATAAAGGCAAAGGGGTCTACTTGAAGGTTCATGGGTACTTGCAAGCAAGGATACATGTGAGGTGACTGCAATGACAAGCTTAGGTAATTTACATATGACCGAATATAGCCCCACGTAACCATTCTGCTTATTACCCATGAGCCGTCAAGCAGTGCTTGTTGTCTTTTGCTTTCCATTGGGGATTCTTTGTGCGGTTCTCTTGGTTCAGGGCTCCATGCTTGGGGCTTGGGCATTGATGAGGGTTCAAGGGTTGCGAGACCTGTCGCGGGGTGGTTTGGGAAGACTCCGGCCAGAGAGGTCTAGAAGGATCTGGGTCCTCAGGGGAGAACCCTCAACCCGAAACCCTAACCCAAACAAATGAGCCCAACGAATCTGCCCTTTCCCTTCAGCTTCCCAGAGGCTCCAAAACCTCTTAATTAGGGAATATACCTTAAACCATATTCGGGTTCCTATTATAATTTAAGGGATATTCCTTAATTAAGGGGTTTTGGAGTCTCTGGGTTCCCTAGCAAAAACTCTAGGCGCTTGGGGTAGAGGCTCTAGGGTGTCTCGGTCGTGTCCACAGACCCTGAACCTCGAAGTCAGGCTTGATAGGCATATCCACTCTCTCTCTCTCTCTCTCTGTATATACATATATATATATATGCATACATATATATGTGTATATATGATAGAGTCTCTACTATAATTAGTATTTTTTAATTACTATGAGTATGATGATTATTATTACTACGATTATTCTTCTTCTTCTTCTTATTTCCATTCTCATTATCCTCAAAATTTAAGGGTTCCTCAGGAGCCGACAGAATCTTCTCAAACCGCTCCAAGGCGAGATGATAGCGGCCCGTCCTCGTTTTGCATGGCAGGGGCCTCCAAAAAAATCACCCCCGCCTCTGGCTTCAGCTTTGTGGGTTTAGGGTTTAGGGTTTAGGGTTTAGGGTTTAGGGTTTAGGGTTTAGGGTTTTGGGTTTTGGGTTTGGGGTTTGGGTTTCGGGTTTAATTAGGGCTTTTCGCCTTGGGATGTTCCCGTTCATACTAACAGCTCCTTAATACCCCCCCCTATTTTAATCCCTATTAAGAACTGTTAGTATAAGGGGGAACCGAAAAGCGTTCGCAGGCCGAAGCCACACAATCCCCCTGAACTTCAACCTAAACCCATTCAGGATTGTCCCTTTCAAGCCCAAACCGTTTCTTCAACCGGTCTAAACCTACTACAGTTTTACATATTATAGTATATTCTCTACTGCATACCAGATAATATAAACACATATACACACATATATATATATATAATACATGTCATATATTGCATGTTATCATAGTAGTCTATAAACACAGGAGAGGACCGGAGCGGGGCCAATCGGGGCTGAGAGCGCAGCTCGATGTAGATCTGCGCGATGCAGTGATCGGTCAGCGCCTGGCAGCTGCACCGCAGGGCTCAGGGTTCAGGGTTCAGGGTTCAGGGTTCAGGGTTCAGGGTTCAGGGTTTAGGGTTAGGGCTTAAGGTTTAGGGTTTAGGGTTTAGGGCTTAGGGGCACCGCAGGGCTTAGCCTAAACCCTATTATTTCCCTCAACCCTATAAAGCCCCTAAACGCCCCTAAACCCAACAAACCCTAAAGCCCCACACAGCCCCTAAACCCCACAAAGCCCCTACAGCCCCTAAACCCTATACAGCCCCCAAAGCCCACAAAAAGCACCCTAAACCCTAAACCCTAAACCCTAACCCCTAAACCCTAAACTCAGGTTGAGTTTGATGGTTGGCTTCGGGTGCGTGTTTAAGATCAAGAGGTGAACCTTCACACCTCTCAACTATCTCGTGAATCTACCCTAAACCCTAAACCCTAAACCCTAAACCCCAAACCCTAAACCCTAAACCCTAAACCCTAAACCCTAAACCCCAAACCCAGCTTCGGGAGGCACCAAAATGCAACTGCAGAATGCCAGCCAGGACGACATTGTCATCCAGAATCATCAGCGAAGCATTGAACCTTTCTGAGCCAAGCACGGAACGTGAGCCACGGTTTAGGGTTTAGGGTTCCCCAAATATTAACCACCCCCCCACCCCCCCCCCCCCCCCCCCCAAAGCCCCAAGCCCCTAATATTAATTCCCCCCCCCCCCCCCAATATACTATAATGTAACTACAATGGGAGTGTTTAGTATGAGGGTAGGTAGGGGGGGGGGTGTTGAATATTCGGGGGAGGGGATTCCTCTGCCTTACCGCACCCGCATAGGCCGACCTGGGGCCCTGGCTCCTGCAAAGCTTCCTCGCTTCGTCCCTGTTGGTGGAAGACCTGAGAATCGGTGCATTTATCAGAAGGCAGGCGGCCAGAACGTTCTTTTGTTGTGCATATACACACACACACACTATCTATAGATGTATGTATATATATATATATAATGTCACCGAGCTACGTTCGAGGTCGAGAACGCTTCTGCGCAAGGGGCTCAACTTTTTTCTTGGCAAGGGTGGGATATGGGCAATAGCATGGGCAGCTGGGGACCCACTGTCACTACTCTTGCAGCCCCTACGCGTCCACCTATGCATGCCTGTTCTGTGTATGCAATTGCGTGGAACTCACATACAAGTCTGTAGGGACATGCCAGACGTTTGTGACGATCTAGTCTAGCCGCAATTGTTACGGTTTCATTGCATGAAATTAAGACTCAAATGTTTTCAACCGCTTTGGACCGCCCGATTCCGCAACTGACTGAAGCCGTCACCGTACCAAGCTGGTGTCTGGTCTTCACCGACGTTGGCCAGGAAACGGCATCTGCCATGTAAAGTGCCTGTGCAGGGCATGCATGGCACCTCCTCATAAACCCTACGACTAGTGGCGCATCGCTAGGCGCAAGTGCATCGCATAACTAAGCTGTTTAATGGCGCCAGGGACCTCCGACGAGCGCCATTGCCAAACTCGTTGTCCACAGCGCCATACATACACAGCCCTCGCGCGCAAGACTAGGATTATGCAGTGCGCTAAGAAGTGGAGGTGGAGGACAACACATTGCAGCGGCAATGGACTTGCGCAATCACAGGCAGACTCTCTCAAACAACGTTGACCCCTTGTTTGGTGGGGGTGTGTGGGCCTGGGGGGGGGGGGGAGGGGCAAACTGGTGCTGGCTGGGGTCGGCACAGCAGCACTGTGGCCAACCGCATAGGCCTTTGCCAAGACATGCGTGACAGCTGTTTCGCTTCATTTCAAGCACTTCAAGCCCATGAACCTTAAGCGCAAGCGTAGATGCCACTAATCGGACTCTCTGCACATGTACAAAGAGTCTACAGACCGCAAGTCCCAAGACCCGAGACTCTTTTAGGGCTCCTTGGCTTGCAAGGCGTGCAGACTGAGTCGAAGGCCATGAACGGCGGCGCCCGAGGCGTTGCCCCAGTGCCTTGTGAACCGCCGAAGGGGAGGGGGGGGGGGCTTCGGTTGCCTCCACAATGCAGATAGATTACGTCGCAGCCATGTGGGCGTTTCCGAGGTTAGGGGTACCTTGTTGGGGTCACGGGAATCCTACTGCTTGGGGATCTATATTAAGGGTCCCTTATCTTCGTAAACCCCCATATAGCGTTGCAATACATTATCGCCTAAACCAGCAGCGCTTCGCCGACCGAAAACCCTGACACTATTAAGCGCAACCCCAAAACTGCAACCTCCCGCATAACACATGGGAGTTTACCCTAAACCCTAAACCCTAAACCCTAAATATAGACTCATCCTTTTCCTTTTTGCTGGGCTTGCCCTTTCCACCCCAAGATAGAAGGATTCCCTTACAAGGACCCCTAATAGAGACCCCCAAACAGTAGGATTCCATTATAAGAAGGACCCCTAATAGAGACCCCCCCCCCCCCCCCCCAAATAGTAGGATTCCCTTATCATAAGGTCCCCAATAAGGTACCCCAACAAGTTCGGAAACCCCCGCATGTATTGCAGACCACCAGACTGGGAGACGCACAGCAGCCACCATAGCAGCCCCAACAGTGCAAGGATAGAGCCTGAGCTCGGGGTCGTTCAAGCTTGGGGTCCTTCCTTTTTGGGAGCTTTCTGTGCAAGGTACAGCATCTCTTTTGTACCTCATTCAAACTAACCCACATCAGAAGGGCTTCAGACTTGTTCACGGTTTTGTAGGGGACTGACAACTCGGGAATGCAGCATCCGACTGGGCTGAGCTTGACGCAGTCGCTCACCCACCGTGACACCCACCTGTGCGCAGTAACGCAGTAAATGAGAGCAACGCAATTTCCAAAGTAAAACAAAAACAGAAAAAACACAGCAAACCACGCCGATGCCATGCGCAAAACTCCCAAAAAACTTCTGCACAAGCCTTGAAGAAGAGGTTCGATGCCGGGATGAAGGGGATGACGATGACTTGCAGGCCCAGCCTTTGCCGAGAGCTTGGAGCAGCCCTGTCTTGACCGGCAATTCAAGTAGTTGCTTCAGAAGCCCCAAAAGTCAACATAAGCCTATGTTGCCCTTGTAAGGACACATGCTTTTTAGTTTTTTGGGTGGTTCTTAAGCAGATAGTATAATTGCGGCTCATCATGCTCAAAGCTTTCAGCCCCCCTGGGCTTTCAGGATATTGCCTCCATGGTAGGATTGTTTTCTGTCCGAGGTTTACCGACCATCCCTAAACCCTAAACCCTAAACCCTAAACCCTAAACCCTAAACCCTGATGTCCCAAAGAAACAGGACTTTCCTGAGAGCGGGGCAGCATGCGCCGCTGGCCTCCCGCCGACAGGCTTCGGCTGATCAGCGCCAGCAGACTGAGGTAGGCCTCTGAGGGCTTAGGGCGAAACCCGAAACTCGAAACCCTAAACCCTACGGTTTAGGGTTTAGGGTTTAGGGTTAGGGGGGCTTTGACTGAGGTGCTCATAGGGCACGGTGATCATGCACGGTTTGAGGCGGCCTTGCGGCGTCTTTTCAATTCAAGCAGGTCCTGCTTCTTGAAGCAAGATTCTTGATTCAACACAAGTTGCCGTGAACAGCATCCACCACTACACCCTAAACCCTAAACCCTAAACCCTGGATGAGCTGAGGTTGCGGCGGTCATCACACCGAGCGTGCGCACATCGCGCCAGCCGGCGCGAAGGAGGGGGATGGCATCGAACGAGTAGTCCTCGAAAAAGGCCAAGCAGGTATCCGGAAGAAGTGCAGCGTGTAGGGTTTAGGGTTTAGGGTTTAGGGGGGTTTAGGGTTTAGGGTTCCAAGTTTGAACTGTGCAGTTGTGTTGATCCAGGTGCATGCGCATCTCAGCATAACCGAGCAACCCCTAAACCCCAAACCCTAAACCCTAAACCCTAATCCCTAAACCCTAAACCCTAAACCCCGATGCAGACGGCGGTCCCATGACAGAGCGCCGGGGAACACCAGCAGCTTTCCGTAGTAAGCGTGCTGAAAAAGGTAGCCTGGCAACTCAGGGTTTAGGGTCTAGGGTTTAGGGTTTAGGGCTTAGGGTTTAGGGTTTAGTCGCTGTCAGGTTCGCTTAAGCCTTGTAATCAAACGCCACTCAAAGTCATGATTGCCACCCACCCTCAAACCCTACAGCCCTAAGCCCTATAAACCCTTAATGAAAAAGACCCAGGCTTCCGATGAGTAGCTGCTTTGAGAAGCACACTAAAGGCATCGGCAAGCAAGCTGTGTACCCTGAGACCCAATTCTACATCCCTACTACAGGGGCCTTAACAATTAGAATAGAATAGGGTTTGGGCGGGGGGGGGGGGGGGGTCATTCTAGTATATGTATATAGGGAACATAAGGGAATACGATTAGTCATTATTCCCACCCATATATTATTTTAAGCCATTTGGGCTTCGGTCAAAAGGTCCTAGAGGCAATGGTTCATGAAGGCTTCATGCTTGCAGGCTCATGGGGGGTTAAAAGTAGGGTCTCAAGTACCCAAAAACTATTCATAGCTACCCTACTTACAACCCCACTTCTAACTACCCATGAACCTCCAAGGGGTGGCAACGGTTCTGGGGTTTCAAAGCCCCAATCTACCGATTGCTTAAGAACTCCCCAAAAAAATGAAAATATTCTTCCTTATACGGGTAATATAAGGAATCTACCAATTGCTTCAGAACCCCCCCCCCCCCCCAGCCAAAAAAAAAAAAAAAAGTTCCTTTTAAGGGTAATATAGGGACTTCTAGCTTGAAATCTTTTGGGGGTTCTTAAGCAAATAGTTGCAATGTTTCAGCCAGGCGCACTCCAGGTTCGCACCTGCCAATCATCGTGGTACTGCACCTTTGCTGCTCGCGAACAACGGCCGGGTGAGCATATGGGCTTTTTTTTTTTTTTTTGGGGGGGGGGGGGGGGTGGTTTGTAGGGTTCGAAGGGTTTTCAGGCTTTGTAGGTTTTTTGTAGGTTTTTTGGGGGGGGAAGGAGCCAGCCGCCAGGATCATAAGACATGCCTCCAAGTGCTACTTACACAGGGTTGAGGGTTCAGGGTTCAGGGTTTAGGGTTCAGGGGAACTCGAGGATCAAAACCGGAATCGCTATGCTGCGGCCAGGTTGCCGTAGTTTCTCTCTATCACGAACTATCGTGTTCAAAACTGGCTGACCCCTTCAAGCTCAACACCCAAAATCCTTCAAAACTCCAGAACCATCAGTCGCGGAACTCCTTGCTTTCAGGGGTTTTCAGGGAACCTCAACCCCCAAAAAAAGGAATAAGGGTACTACTGTGCATCCTAGTTGAACTGGGGCTTGACTCAGGGCTCTTCTGCTTCGTGGGTCCTTGGAGTTGCGAGTTCTTAGAGCTCGGGTCGTGTAGATTTCAGGGCCACAGGCTCGAAGCCCTAAACCTTGCGTGTCAGGTATACCCTCTTCATGAGCCGAGAACCCTTCTTTGTTGGAGCTAATCCCCTGCTCCCTAAACTTTCCTAAACCCTAAACCCTAAACCCTAAACCCGAAACCCTAAACCCGTCCAAGGTGGCCCACCTCCAAACCCTCAGGGCTTCAGGGTTTAGGATTTAGGGTCTCATTCTGCCAGAGGTAGGGCTATGGATTTAGATAGGCTTTAGGAGCCCCGAGCCCTGCTTTCCCGAATGAAGCCCTGAAGAAACATTCGCACGAAAAAACACATGCCTAATATAGGGGTCGGAATACTTCCTAATAATAATAGTATCCCCTTATGGCCCCTTTGTAACTATACTATAGTAACCCCCAAAACCTGTTCTAATTATTATTATTATTATTATCGTTAGTACTATTATAAAGGCCCCTATATTAGGCCCGGGCGGGCGTGTCTACGAAGCCGAACGCTGCGCTGGAGCCCTGGCAATTTCGCTTCGGCCCGAGGGCGTTGCTCAAGACAGTTTCTTGGTAGCCCAGTAACGATATATATATATATATAGATATAAGTAGCCATATATATATATATATATACATGTATACATATTACATAAGGAGCCCCATATTAGAATCAGGGGTTGGTTGCTCAACAAGCACCCCTTTTGGGGGTTGGTTATTTAACAAGGGAACCCAGAAGAAAAAACAAAAGGAACAGAGTATCACTGGGCTATCAAGGTTTACGGCATGGCGATCCTGACACGCCAGGGCCTGTTGCACTTTCGACTTTCGATTCAGGAGGACCTACAAACGATGACAGCAGTTTCGAGGCTTTCACCGCCGATATGCCATGTCAACCGAGAAGGTCGCTACGTCTGAAACGAATGAAGGACCTGCTTCTTCGAGGGATGTCGCTCGAACATTTGGCATGCAATGCTGCTTCAAAATGCGGCGCTCTCCTGCAACGCATTCTGTGGAAAGAGCCGTCGCAACGCTTTTGGGAAAAGTCTCGAACACATACGAAAGGTTCATAGCCTGCGAACTGCAACTGGAATTAGACCAGAAAAAGGCATTAAAGAATGGCAAGCAGCAGACACAGTTCGGCATGACAAGAACATGTCCCCAGGCAGCCGAGAATACCTGTCAATGCACACGATGCCCCAGCCCAAAAAAGGCTAGCGGCTAACCTTTTTTACATAGTAGGATTCTATACCCCCAAAAGCTTCAAGGTTACCTACCCAGTCCCTTAGTACGGAGGGGGCCGAGGCCAAAATCCCCAGCTTCAGAACTACCGGCCTGAGTCATCATGAAGCGAAGTGATGCCAAGACAGCAAAGAGCACCAGCGACGCGATGGCCAAAGGCAGCGCGCCTTCCGGCAGGGTGGCGAATTTTGTTGAATCGCCCGTGATGTCTCAGGCCAGAATCCTGTCTGAAACGACCCATTTCCAAAACCCGAAATGGTGAGTCTGATTTGACTGCTGTGGATGAAGAACGACTTAGGGTGAGTTCCTGTGGACGTTCAACTTCAAAACCATCTCAAGATCGGAACATGTGGGATCTGGGGCGGGGGGCGGGGGAGGTTGGGGTGGGCGGGGGGGAGGGGGGGGTGTCTCAAAGTTGGCGTGCCTGTAGCCAGGCGCCGCTGGCAGGGCTTGCAACCTCGCCACTGGGGCGTCTGTCTTTGTAGCAAGATATTTGGTTTCCATTCAACAACCCTAAACCCTAAACCCTAAACCCTGAACCTTGAACCCTGAACCCTAAACCCTAAACAGCACAAGGCAGAATTATGTTGCTCTGAGGTGGCTGCTGACCAGCTCGAGGCCAGCTGTGAACACCAAGAGCCTGGCAAGTGCAGATCAAGGCTTCGAGGGGCTAATGTGTTAGTCCCAACAGTAGAACTGAGCTTGCGATGTTTGGTTTTTGGCTCCAACATGTCACATCTGCGCACCAAAGGCAGCACCAGCATCACCAGCATCACCACCACCACCACCATCACCCACCACCAACGACCTACCGCTGCCAAAAAAACACCACACCAAACCACCACAATCCAACCACCGGCACATTCAACGGCACCAGGACCGACAGACGCAACGACGGCAGCGAACCTCGGTCTGTGCCGGGACGCCCGGGCTGCCCGGCCCACAAGCGAGAGGCTCTGAATCCCGTGAAGGCTTTGCCACGTGTCGACGACGCTGGTACGACGACCAGCCATATAGTTGTTTTGGTAAGTAGCACGCCTCTCTAAGCCCTAAGCCCTAAGCCCTAAGCCCTAAGCCCTAAGCCCTAAACCCTAAAATCATCATCTAATGGACTTCTTGAAGACTCAACGCAGACAGCTTGAAATCATGTGGAAGCACTGCGGCTAAGCTTCGGGCGTAATCCCCATCTCCTGCCACGTGAGGATGCGCACCGCAGTTGAGCCAGGGCTCATGAGTATGCATATGTATATATATATATATATATATGTATGTATATGTATGTGTATATGTATATACGTGTATACAGATATATATATATATATATATATATATATATGTGTATATATATATGTATATATATATATGTATATGTATGTATGTATATATGTACATTCAGGGCCCATCACGCTGAAGCTCACTCTGCGACCGGAATCCGGCTTGCAAACCTGGCCCCGGAAATCATGCTTTTAAGCAACCTAAACCAGCTCAAGAGGTGAGTTAACTGTTCGGCAGTGCGGACACTTGGCACGTCATCCATAGCGTTTTTCTTCTCTAAAGTGCTAAGTTTCTATGAGACCATGTGGCACCCGCGTTCTTCTGCACGGGAGCACACTGGGTTTCGGTGGGACCCGCATTCTTCTGCGTGGGAATGCACTGAAAATCGGCGGGGCCCGCGTTCTTCTGCGTGGGACGGTACCGGGTCTCGGTGGGACCCGCGTTCTTCTGCGTGGGACCGTACCGGGTCTCGGTAAAACCCGTGTTCTTCTGCGTGGGACCGCGCCGGCTTTCGGCGGGACCCGCGTTCTTCTGCGTGGGACCGAATTGGGTTTCGGGGAGGCCCGCGTTCTTCTGCGTGGGACCGTGCCTGGTTTCGGTGGGACGCGCGTTCTTCTGCGTGGGACCGCGCTGGGTTTCGGTGGGACCCGCTAAATCGCTCCGTTCTTCTGCGTGGGACCGTACACCCCGTTTGGGTTTTACAAGGCTAATTAAGGGAAGGGGAGGGCCCCACTGGACCACTTTTTCGTGTAGTTGCAGCATTGTAGTCCAAGCGCCTGCCCAGCCGGTGCGTTGGTGTGTGGTCTGTAGAGCCCGGAGTGGGCTTGCTATATGGGTGGGCTTGCTTTTGGTACCGCCAAACGGTCAACCGTCCGGCTTCAACACGATGGGCCCAAATAGTATCGCAAGAATGCCATCAGGCAAGTAGCATGATCGAATTGTCTGCAAGACGGGCTTCTGCAATGCCCGGCAACGTCGCAGCAAGGTCCGCGCAAACATCTTGGATGCTACAGCACCATTAATGCTTTGCAGCAATGTGCCCGATTGGCCTGCAAAATGCGCGGTTTCCGGCTTCGTTTTTTGGGCTATTTTCTGGGCAGCTTTCTTCATGCCAGCAGCAGCCAGAGCACAGAATTTGCCGCCCGCGCCGTGGGCGCAGTTTCGGAACCGCCGAATTTTCGTTTTTGGGGTCGTGCTTCTGGCTCCAAGTTTTTGGTTTATTTGTCGGGCTGCTTTGTCTTCCCACCCCGGCGACCAGTTTTCGTCCCATTTTGGTGGCCGGGTTTCCGGCCCGCTCGGCGGGCCCAAAAAACTGACCCAGGCACATTCAGGGCCCATCACGCTGAAGCTCACTCTGCGACCGGAATCCGGCTTGCAAACCTGGCCCCGGAAATCATGCTTTTAAGCAACCTAAACCAGCTCAAGAGGTGAGTTAACTGTTCGGCAGTGCGGACACTTGGCACGTCATCCATAGCGTTTTTCTTCTCTAAAGTGCTAAGTTTCTATGAGACCATGTGGCACCCGCGTTCTTCTGCACGGGAGCACACTGGGTTTCGGTGGGACCCGCATTCTTCTGCGTGGGAATGCACTGAAAATCGGCGGGGCCCGCGTTCTTCTGCGTGGGACGGTACCGGGTCTCGGTGGGACCCGCGTTCTTCTGCGTGGGACCGTACCGGGTCTCGGTAAAACCCGTGTTCTTCTGCGTGGGACCGCGCCGGCTTTCGGCGGGACCCGCGTTCTTCTGCGTGGGACCGAATTGGGTTTCGGGGAGGCCCGCGTTCTTCTGCGTGGGACCGTGCCTGGTTTCGGTGGGACGCGCGTTCTTCTGCGTGGGACCGCGCTGGGTTTCGGTGGGACCCGCTAAATCGCTCCGTTCTTCTGCGTGGGACCGTACACCCCGTTTGGGTTTTACAAGGCTAATTAAGGGAAGGGGAGGGCCCCACTGGACCACTTTTTCGTGTAGTTGCAGCATTGTAGTCCAAGCGCCTGCCCAGCCGGTGCGTTGGTGTGTGGTCTGTAGAGCCCGGAGTGGGCTTGCTATATGGGTGGGCTTGCTTTTGGTACCGCCAAACGGTCAACCGTCCGGCTTCAACACGATGGGCCCAAATAGTATATATGTATATATGTATATATGTATATATGTATATATGTATATATGTATATATGTATATATGTATATATGTATATATATATATATATACAACGTGTATGTATGATCCCGGTTCTCGATCCACCAGCCCCCCCCCCCCCCCCCCCCCCCCCTAACCTCCCCCCCCCTAACCTCCCTCCCCTTTACTCTAAACCCCTGTCCCCTACACCCCTACCCTAAACCAAACCCTAAACCCTAACCCCAACCTCCCAACCATCGGGAGGGGGGGGGGGGGGATAGTATATGTACATATACAACTACAAATATATACATACAATATATACATACCTATAATCTATATATACATATAGATATATGTATGTACGTACTATGCAACGGAGGAGAGAGAGAGAGAGAGAGAGAGAGAGAGAGAGAGAGAGAAAGATAGATCGAGAGAAAGAGAGAGGCTTGGCAGCAGCTAGGGGGGTTGGCCACACGCCACCACTTCAAGACAGACACGGCTTTTGCCTCTGTCGTCTTTCTCTCATCATCTTCACACCCGAGCTGCCACTCGAATCAACAAGCACGGTCCTTGCAAAGACAAGAGATCGTGGCCAGGAGGCCACACAGAAAGACCTACCACGGACAAGGCAAAGTGCCAGGGTTCAAGGTTGGCTGTCAAGGGGGGATCTGTTCTTGGAGCTGTTTTTGGGATGCCGCCAAAGGAATGTATAGCTTGGAAGCTCTGAATACGCATCATGCAAACATGCAGTGACTCAACTCCCTAGGTAGCAAACATCGTCTGATGGGCCTCACTGTCCTAGAACCCTAAACCCTAAACCCTAAACCCCAAACCCTAAACACTAAACCCTAAACCCTAAACCCTAACCCTAAACCCTCGAACCCTAAACCCTAAGAGGCCTCGTGTGCTTGTGCGAGGCTTGTGGGCCGCCAATACTGGTGGCAACATTAAAGTCGGACTCAGGAGAGTAAAGGCAGAGCTCTGAGATTGCACAAGTAGCTAGCTCCTGCCAAAAACGAGGGTTTATAATTTAGGGTTTAGGGTTTAGGGTGCCATCATAACATCAACATCTGCTTGCCCTCTCGCGCGGCACCAGCAGCGCGCAAGCCAAGCGAGGAGGTTTCTCGGAGGCCTGCGGCTGCTTGTGACTGTTCGATGTTCCACTAAAAGCTCCGTACTTTGGCTTGGTAGCTCAGCTCCTGAACGCCGGTTCATGGGTGTCACAAGTAGGGTTATAAGTGGGGTAGATTTAAGGGTACGTATAACCTACTTGCAACTACTCATGAACCTTCAAGCAACCCTAAACCCTAAACCCTGAACAGGGTACATATAACCCTAACTACCCATGAACCCCCCTCCGAGCCTGCCACGCACGTCTCGCGCGGACTTGGGCAATGGCAGCGAGAAGCCAACCAAAAGTCGCCAAGGCATCGGCACCTAAACAGCTGTTACGGTTTAGGGTTTAGGGTTTAGGGTTTAGGGTTTAGGGTTTAGGGTTTAGGGTTTAGGGTTTAGGGTTTAGGGTTTAGGGTTTAGGGTTTAGGGTTTAGGGTTTAGGGTTTAGGGTTTAGGGTTTAGGGTTTAGGGTTTAGGGTTTAGGGTTTAGGGTTTAGGGTTTAGGGTTTAGCGTTTAGGGTTTAGGGTTTAGGGTTTAGGGTTTAGCGTTTAGGGTTTAGGGTTTAGGGAGAAATTTCGTAATCGGGGTCTAACCCTATATGGTCACTTCACCAAATTCTGGTCCCTTTTGGGTTACGCTTTTGCGGCAGTTTGGGTTGCCACTATAAGGCGGCCCCTAATATTTAGGGTGCCCAAGAGGAGACCATCATTTTGAGAAATGGCCATATAGGGCTTTGAGGAACCCTAAACCTTAAACCCTAAACCCTAAACCCTAAACCCTAAACCCTAAACCCTAAACCCTACACCCTAAACCCTAAACCCTAAACAGGATTCTGGGCCCCTGTTGACGCACCAGCTGTCGGAGGAAAGCCTCCACGTCTCCGTGCTGCGCGGTTGCGGCAGCCTGAGGCCGACACGACCCACGAGGTACACGATGTTTTCCACCTTGGGTTGACACAGGTTCAGCCTTCTCCCTGAAACCTTCTGAACTACAAACCTGCAACCTACAATGAAACTCTTAAACTCCCTCAAAGCCTACAACAGAAACCGATGCCGCCACGTGGACGACCTGTCCAAGTCCGTGCTAGGCGACCCGCGCCCCCTGAAGAACCCCGCATAAGGAGGACTTCCGAAGAGACGTTCGTTCAAATGGGGGTATAGCGTCTACAGGGTTTGTAGGGTGAATAGGGTTCAGGGTACTAAGGATACTAAGGGTATTAAGGGTCTGAAGGGTATTAAGGGTATTAAGGGTCTTAAGGGTCTGAAGGGTATTAAGGGTATTGAGGGCACCCAAATATACACAAACAACCCTGCAGCCAGAGCGGCGTGCACAGGGTGAGCAGCAAAGAGCGCGGCGGCGATGCAGCTCCATCGCCGGCAAAGCCCCAAGTCACGGAGCAGGGTCCTGGGGTTTAGGATTTAGGGGGTGGAGGCGGCGTGGGGTTCGCGGTTTGAGGCGTGCTGTGCCGGTGATTGTGTTCCGACATGGCGCACCACATGTGTGTGTGTGTGTGTGTGTCTCTCTCTCTCTCTCTGTCCGTGTGTGCCAACATGTGCACCTTGCATGTGTTTGCCTCCCTCCTCCTATGGAACCGGGCTGAAATATCCAAATGACATACCGAACAACTGAATAAATTGTGATCAGCATGGTTGTACTAAGAAGAACGTACTTATTAGTGCGGCCGGGGCCGGGAAGTTCTGCCCAGGCACAACACCAGCAGCGAGTTCGCCAAGTGAAGAGCTGCGTTGAAGGTTCGAAGCGGCTGAGGTCGAAACAAGTCCTGCCGATGGTCCCCCCTTGCAACTTTGTGGAACAGGGGCCTTTTTTATAGGGTTTGGCCGCTGGACGGTTTAGCACTGTGGGTTCGAGACCGCAGGCAAAGCCAAAAGCCTACATGGTCACATTTCCCTGCCTTCAAAACCAAGGTCGTACCAAAAAATGTACCAAAGGTCGTACCACGACAGGACCCTACCGGCGAAAGGGCCCGAAACCCTAGCCCTAAACCCTAAACCCTAAACCCTAAACCCTAGAAGTAAACAAATCCTAAGAACTGACCCTACAAGCATTCGCGAAACCTCACCAAGCCAGCGGAATTGCCAGGAGAAGGAAAGGACGGCCAGGGGCCGGTACGACCTCGATGGCGCGTGACCCCACAAGGATCTAAGGGTAGCTACATGGTCCCTTAGTATGGGTCCCTTAAAGCAGACCCCTTTAGGGTTTAGGGTTTAGGGTTTCGGGTTTAGGGTTTAGGGTTTAGGGTTTAGGGTTTAGGGTTTAGGGTTTAGATACCCCTTGTGTACCCTACACAAGTTAAGGGCCCATACATGAGAACCCTGTAGAAGGGACCATATTAAGGGCCCAGATTAAGGGAGATGGTTTAAGCATGATGGTTTGGGATGTTCCCCCCTTCTCCTAACAGTCCTTAGTAGGGATTATAGTAAGGGGTACCATGATCCCTGTGAAGGACTGCTAGTAGAAGGGGGAACATCCCAGGGTGTCATTCAGATTCAGATGTCTGCACTCTACACCCTAAACCCTAAAGCCTAAACTCTAAGCCCTAAACCCTAAACCCTAACTCTGTTGCCCGAAAACATCATCCTGTGCAGTTACCTCGTCAGACCCGCCCGGAGTTCTCCTGTGCAACGCTAGCTAGACGAACGACCTAGGGTTTAGGGTTTAGGGTTTAGGCCCCGAATTCATAAAACCCCGATTGTCCATTGACCGCAATCATTCAGGTTTTAGGGGCGCAGGCTCTCTGACAACCTGTGACCGAGCAGTCCCCGAAGAGTGTAAAGCTCGAGAAGTCTGCACATAGAGCGGAAGCCCAGCCCATGGAAACACCTACCAGTTAAGTCCTTCACAAGACCTCACGCAACTGTGCCGCCGAAGCGGAGACGCTCAGGGTTTAGGGGTTGGGGTTTAGGGTTTAGGGTAAATGCAAGGCTTGTCAGGACAGGTGGCTTGTGGGTCCAGCTCTTCCCCCACAGGGGATTGCCCCAGAAGTCATTTGTAAAGACCTGGCGCCGCAAGTGGACTCGGGGCCCAGGTCACAAGCGCTCTGGCAATACAGCTCCCTAAGCCAAACCACGAAACTCAAAAACAAAAATCCACGACCCTTAAAGCCCTTAATCGCTTAAAATCCTGGAACCCTTGAACCCTTAAACCCTTGAAACCTTGAACCCTTACAGCCTTCCACACTTAAGCAAATAAGCCCTTGAACCCTGAAAGCCCTGAACCCTGAAAGCCTTCAACCCTCGAACCCTTACAGCATCAAGCCCTTCAAGCCTAAGCACTGGTACCCTTGCACCCTTGAGCCCTTAAAGCCCTAAAGCCTTAAAGCCTTAAATCCTTAAACCCTTGAACCCTTAAAGGTTTAGGGTTTAGGGTTTAGGGTTTAGGGTTTAGGGTTTAGGGTTTAGGGTTTAGGGTTAAAGCCTTAAACCTTTGAAACTTTGAACCCTCTGAACCCATGGCGCCTGTGAGAGCGGTGTCACTCCTCTCGCATCTTCATTTCGAAGCACCGCGAAGAGTTCGTCGATATACCTTGGGGCTTCAAGTTGAGGGTTTCAGGATTTAGGATTCCAGGCTTCAGGGTTAACTAGGGGGGGGGGGGGGGGGGGCGGTTCGGGTTTGAGAATTTGTCATCGAAGCGCGTTGTTTTGCTTTACGATGCTTCGGTGTCAGAGTGGAGAAGGATGCAGCAGGTTAGGTTTTGGGGGTTACGCCGCTCATCCGAAAGGCAGAAGGAATTTGCGAAAACAGCACACGCAAAAAGTGCCCATGATGTAGGTCACCTCCGTCGTTACGAAACCAATGCTGCAGCATTGGCATCATTGTGATGATGTACAAACATGCATACATGCATGCATGCATGCGTGCATGTCATGGCGTGTTTTAGATACCTATAGGGACACATACAGGTATGTATGTACGTACACATGTGTATATACATATATATATATATATATATATATGTATGTGTGTGTACATGTCTGTGTACATACATAAATAACGTAAATATATGCACGCTTTAAGGACAAAGAAGTACACCGGTCACCCCCAGCATGTACACCGTGAGACTAAACCGCTCCCAAACCCGTCAACCAAAAAACCCTGACCTGTGGCAAAGCGTGGGAAGGGTTTAGGGTTTAGCGTTTAGGGTTTATGGTTTAGGGTTTGGGGTTTGGAGTTTGGGGTTTGGGGTTTAGGGTTAGGCGGGTTCGGGTTTAGGGTTTAGGGTTGAGGGTTGATAAGATGTCCACACCAACTTACGGCCGGAATGCCATTCGCTGTACGTCACGCAGGGAAGGTACAGCAAGCCTTGGCAGCAGGGCAAGTCTTCCCCATGACATTTTAGGGTTTAGGGTACAGGGTTTAGGGATAGCAATTGCACCCCTCACCCCTCACCCCCCCACCCCCGCACCCCCCTCGCCCAAAGAACAAGCAACAAAGAGGCCGTGGCTCCTCTCTGGTGCAATCCGGGTTCGGCCTTTTGAGGCTTTGGAAGGCTTAGAAGGCGGAAACGGTCAGAAAGGATTGGAAGTGGCAAGATTGCAAACGAAAGAGGCGAAAACAACTCGCTCAGAACCCAACATACATCGACCATTGTAAAAGGCTCCCAAATATATGTGTATAAGTATGTATATATATATATATATGTATAGAGTACATTTGTGCATTGAGTGTCGCTAGAACGCCCACGCGGGCATCCTGAACGACAGAAAATACATGGCTTCATCGGGAGCCTGCACAGAAAAGTGTGAACAGAACCCCACATCAAGATCAATTTAGAGTTCTCCCGCCCGTAAACCCTGAACCCTATAAACCCTAAACCCAAGACCCTAAACGCCGTATGTGCGCAACCCTTCCGGGCCGACGCGCGCGCGCAAAAGTACTACTTGCTGAAATGGAACGCCAAGCCCTATAGAGCTCATAATCTGGCCGCACAGGTAAGTCCATTACATTCCAGTACACGGAGCCACCTGCAACTGCAAACCCGAAACCCTAAACCCTAAACCCCCATTAGGGGAGAGGGGGGGGGGGGCGGGCATGGACCTTGACATGCTTATGCTGAGGTGCTTGGGCAGCCACCTAAAGAACAACTCCACATGGGGGTTTACCATAATCAGGTACCCCAACAATAGACCCCCGAATTTTTGAATAGTAGGATGCCCTTAAAAAAGGACCTCAATCAGGTACCCCTAATATCGGAAACCTCCACATGCTGATTCAGCTACTTGTGAGTGCGATGACAGGTCTTGGTTGGTCCTTGATGGCTTCATGCACATCCACGCGCAGAATTGTTTGGCTTGCTTGCTTGCTCGTATGTCCAAGCATCTGCAGCACTCTGCTTTAAGCAAGGTGCTGCCTACTTACAGGACATTATAGGTGTCTTACGCGCACAAGAAGATAGATTAAGGCGCCACCGAACGACGCTTGTAACTAGTGGGGTGAGAATGCAGCATTGCACACGTGAATGTACAACAAATATTGTGGACATGCGACCGTCCATGACCGTCCGTTTGTTAGCAGGCTTTCTGCCACATCCCCTCCCCCTAATACTAAACCCCCCCTACCCCCTATTATTAAATACCCCCATTTTAGCTATATTGTAGTATATTGGGGGTTTTTAATATTAGGGGGTAGGGGGTTTAATATTAGGGGGAGGGGATTACCGCTCGCGAGGACGGTGCGCAGTCAGAGGAAAACGCATGAAATGTGCCCAAAGTCTTCACATGGAGACCGTGTCTTTAATCTCGGCAGCGCTGCGGGCGCTGTGGTGATGCCACGAGGCGTTGAAGTGAGCCATGATCTGTTGCTGCAAATCTTCGACTTGATGCAACTGCTCCCGAAGTTTCACCTTGGAGCTAGGGCAGAAGCCCACGCAGTAGGAGGAAGGCTAGTCTTGTCCAGTCCAGTCATGGGCCTAAACCCTAAACCCTAAACCCTAAACCCTAAACCCTAAACCCAAAAATATGCATAGCGAATGGAATTTTGGAGAACAGGTTTCTTGGCCGAGGAGCATTCTGCCGTCGAAGGGCGTACAGGTCCACCGAGCGCGCCGGCCCACGCAGCGAGAAACACCTCTCCATGAATTCGTCGATGCTAATCAGGCCTTGGCAGCCCAGCAACCATCTCTGAATGAATTAATAAGGGTACCCGTTTTGAGGTTCGTTACTTTATAAGGGAACCTGAATACCCCCCCAAAAAACAAGAAAAAGGGCACGATTGGGCTACCAAGAAGCTGTCACCGTCCACGTCGAGACTCAAGAACAGCGTCCAGGCATCCACAGCACCAAGCTCCAGGGATTCGAAGAAGGCCTTCACGGTGTCATCACCTTGCTTGCTGGGTTCATAAGCCCCCCAAAAAAGTGTACACTTTCAGCTTTATGGGGGGTTATGGTATCCCAAAAAAGTGTAAAGTGTACTCACTGAGCTACGAAGTCACCCAGGTTCTTCTCGAGGTCGGTGAGGGTTATCTTGCCCAAGCCGCGCTCATCGATCCGGTAGAAGAGGTCGTTGACCAATGCGCGAAACTCCTTTCCAAGCACACATGGCTATAACATGCTACAACCCGAAGCTCTGCGCATGTTAAAAGCTGATTGACCCAGATACTTGTTTGCACGCGTCCTGCCGATTTTGCAACAAGGACTGCACGACTAGGTCGTGGTCTTTCTCCGCGGCCTTGATGGCGCTGTTGCAGAAGACTCCCGTCCTGAAGCACATGCAGAAGAATGTTAGACTATGACGAATGCCACACAGGGATCGCCCCCGGGCAACACGCCAGCATTGCAAGCTGACAGCAAGCAAGCAACCTCATATTGGCAATGAGGCAGCGACACGGGCAGGCTCTTTGTCACTGTCACTTTAGTTGCACATGCAGAAGAAGAACCCAAATCCTAAACCCTAAACCCTAAATGTTAGACTATGAAGCACATGCGGGAAACAGGGGAAGGATAGACAGTGACGAATGCCACTCAGGGAGTGACCCGGGCAAGACGCCACATATGCTAGTCAGAGAGCCAGCTTCACCCTCACACTGGCACAGAGAGCAGAGCACACAAGGCAGGAAGAACATGCAGAAGAAGAAGAATGCTAGACTATGACACATGCCTCTCAAGGAGTGCCTCCCGGGCAAGACGCCAATTTGCAACCTGCAAAAGCAAGCAACAACCTCAACACACGCATTGCCACCCAGGAGCATGACATTCAACACTGCAAACTGACCTTGGTCGTCGCGGGGGGGGGTCAAGGCTAAGGGGGAGTATTCACCCAAAATCATATGACCTCAGGGCTTGACATAGGCTGCTGACAATGCAGACGTGCCACAAAACGCAATGTAGAAGTGGAACATCTGAACCCAGTACATGTTCAAGGGCAGCAGCGCATCAGCCGCCTCGTACCTGACACAGAAACCCGGTTGTTTGTAGGTGGACCATGCACATTTAGGGTCATTTTGCAAAGACGAAGCCGCCGAAAACAACAAAAAAAGACTGTGGTTCTTGAGGTACCAGCTGAAGCCGTTCAGGAGTGCGCGGAAGAGGGTGGAAAAGGATCGGTAGAGTGTTCCTTAGTTGCTGAGTTCAGAAGCCCCCAAAAAGTGTACACTTGCAGTTCTATAGGGGATTATCGTATCCCAAATAAGTGTAAAGTGTACTCACTCAGCTACTAAGGTTCCAGAATTGATAAGGGCACCCTTTTTTTTTGGGTTGGAAAAGGGTACCACCGGGCTATCAAGGTTCCGAAGTAGGGATTGTTAAAACCCTAAGCCCTAAGCCCTACATGGTACCCAACTATGACCAAGGTTCCGAAGTACTCCTCCATCTTTGCTTCTGGCTCTCCCGGCGAGGGAGTCTCGGCCACGTGTTCCAAGACGATGTCTGTGAACATAATGCTAAACATATACCTGTTTAGGGGGGCTTAGGGGGCAGGGGGCTTAGGGCTTAGGGCTTAGGCCTTAGGGCTTAGGGTTTAGGGTTAGGGTTTGGTGCTTAGGGTTTGGGGCTACTGGTTGGGATCGAATTAAATTCATATTCCTTAGTACTTCGACATGTAAAATGATACCCAACTATGACCAAGATACCTGCAGCGGGGTTTAGGGGGCTTAGGGTTTAGGGTTTAGGGTTGATAAGGGTTTAGGGTTTGCAAGGGCTTACCAGGGTTTACCCGTGATCCTGGAGGCAAACCCCCTCTAACTCAAGGGATAACCCTCGAAAACCGCAGGTAAGTGGAGCCCTAAACCCTAAATCCTAAATCCCTAAACCCCAAACCCTAAATCCTAAATACCTAAACCCTAAACCCCAAACCCTAAATCCCAAACCCTAAACCTTAAATCCCTAAAGCCAGCTCCAGGTACATGATGAGGGCCAGCAGAAGCATGGCCCAGATCAGCTGCTTCGTGGTGTCCACCAGCGAATGCACCAGCGTGCGAAGTGCCTCGCAGGGTTAGAGGGTTTAGGGTTTGGGGTTTGGGGTTTGGGGTTTAGGGTTTAGGGTTTGGGGTTTAGGGTTAAGGGTTCTAAGAGGTTTATGTAGGGTTTTGGGGGTGTGCAAGGTATATAGCCCGCTTGTACCTATCGACATGTAACCCTATGATACCCTACTCCTAAGCCAAAAAAAACTCAAAACCCACACTAAAAGGCCACCCTGCAACACTGCATTCGCTACTCATGCAGTTTTTCCCCTACTTGAGAGTAAACCCTGGAGAAAAAGTATATACTTTTTAGGCTAGGTAGAAGTAGCTATCATCGGAACCCAGAACCAAAAAAAAAGTATTAAGGTCTAGTACTCCAAAACCCAATTGAGGTCTAACACAAGGACCCCGACCAATGGTGGCCTTGCATCTACTAAATTGTGGGGCGACTTCACGTCCTGAGAAGGTGAAAGCGCCAATTGTGGTTCAGGGTTTAGGGTTTAGGGTTCTGAGAAAGTTTTGTGGAAGGTTGAAGAAGGTCGCCCAAGAGATTATTTTATAAGCCTCCAATAGGGTCACACATAGGTGTCTCGAAATAAAGACTGCATGCTTTGCGACGACTCCCTTGGTCAGAGAAAAACTAAGCCAAAGGTGGTTTGGACATGGAAATAGCAGTCCCTTAATTGAGTATTGACATTGTCGCGAACAAGGCCAGGATAGGAACGCGACCCCAAAACCCTGATACTTGTGGCAAAAAAAAACAATGTTCAGCTATCTCATCATACTTCTCTCTTGAAGGTACTAAAAGAGCCCTAAAGATCCAAAAACCCTGAAACCTCAACCCGCAAGAAGCCTTGAACACACGCGCCACGCGAAGCACGCGCAGGACCCGCAGGAGGCGGCCCACCCTGAGCACCCTCACAAGTCGCAGGTTGCTGTTGGAGATGCCTTGGAACTCACTTTGACCGTTGCGGCTTCCTGATTTCTGGTTTATCTGGGACCTAACTACTTCCGTGGGATAAATCAATAAATAAAGATATATATATATATATATATCTATATATATATATATAACTATGGATATACCATGTCATGTGGGTTGTAACCTGCCAATTTGCAGGGAATGGAGTTGAAGATAGGGTTTGCGGTTTGCGGCTCTGGCAAGAAAATGTTCACATACTAGCTGAAAACCTTATAGATCGTTCCTATACCCTCCCCCCCCCCTATACCCCTATAGACCGTGCAGAAAGGATGAGGTCAAACGATACTCAGCCTCATGCTAAGGGTGTCAGTGGAGACTACATGGGGGATCTCGACATTAGGGGGTACCTTATTGGGGTCTTTTTTAAAGGGGGATCCTACTAGTTGGGGTCTTTCTTAGGGCCATCAGCATGACATGTCATATCGCTGCCTTTTACATATCACTGCTTTGATCGATTGTTGTTGGGTGCTTTAGCATGTCTTGTCAAACTTCAGTACGCCTTCTTGAACACATCGACATCTGTGTGCATGTGCGCATATCCTTAAAGGGTCCAGCTTCGTAGCCCAAGGTGCTTCGGGACCCTGTTGGCTGAAGGAACTCCAGCAACAGCTCCGTCCAAGATGAGAGGACTACAAAGACGTCGAGCCAATTCCATGTCCAGCTGTTAGAGAAGAAGTATCCGCACCAACCATCTGCAATCAAGCTCAGAAGCACTTCCACCGTGAACAACACAGCGTAGGTTGTATGGAGCGCAGCAAAGAAAAACTCGGCATCTGTGTTGCCTGGGTGCTGCGAACGCCACTCAAGCTGAATGCCCAGAAACATGGAATTTGTCAGTATTGTGACAGCGAAGAAAATAGTCGCCGCCTGCGAATGAATGATGTTCGCACAGTACTCGCGGACCGACAGCTTCCACCTTCCCCAAGCGCTTTGCTTCTGATGCTGGTGTGGTGTCATTGAGCTGCCTGAGCCATCCTTCGACCATATCCTCCTGAAGGCCTCTGCTATCCGATTGGACTTCATCACAGCCACGTGGTAGCTGTCCAGCCTCTTCATAGCAGTGCGTGAGTTGCGGAGTTCACCGGTGGGCATGGCGCGCATGGCGCTCCGATCTGTATCGGCTCGGCCCCAAAGCTCCTGCGCGGCGACGTTCTCATCGTGCTGGTCACGATCTTCGTGTTGCTTGGAAGAAGCCCCTGATGGACGGTAGGAATACTCGGAGCTTCTGTACATTTTCATTGGTTGCGTGCTCAGGTGACTGATGGAGGTGTCGATCTTCTCAAACCACGCATCCAGGTGCTGCAAGAGCTCGTCGTGCTGGTCCTGTAGGGTTTGTTTGCACCACAGTTCAAGGACGGTCCATGTTTGGGTACTCTCAATATTAGGGACCCTAGTAATTTAGAGAATCCCCCCCCAAATATGGTTGAAAGTACAGTATTGTTGGGAATCCTGCAGGCGCTTCTCCATGCTTGAGGTTGGCTCTGCGTCCGCCATGGCGGCAGTTGGGGACCCCTATACAGCCTGAAGCCTACAATCCAGGACGCGCGCGGCTCATTGCTGTAGGCTTGCGCCTTCATATAATTACAAGTCGCAGCTAGTGCAGTTCCTGTGGAACCGTGATGCCCTCTGATGAAAGTCAAGGCACAGCACAGCGTGGGCAGTGCCCATGGTAGGATCCCAATGTCCCATCGCCGCAGTCCAGGCGTCTGCACAGACTCCTCAAGCAGTGGAGCAATGCCTCCCTAAACCCTAAACCCTCAATTTGAAACCTAAACCCTAAACCCTAAACCCATGGTTTTTTGTCTTTCTCTGGGATCTTGGGGTGCGGACACCACGTGCAGGATGTATGCCTCATTGTCTCCGCTGCAACGATTCGGTGGCACATGGCCGTTCTTCGAAAGCTGCCAGACCGAGCCTGAACCGTTACTCCCACCCCCAAGCCCCCGAAACCTGTCCCTGTCCACCCCCGACCCCCCGCCATTCTCTCTCGCTCTCTCTCTCTCTCTCTGTCTTTCCTTCCTCTTCTTTGTATGTGTTTTTGTTTTCTCTCTGTCTCTCTCTCTCTCTCTTCCTTCCTTCTTTCTTCGGGTGAGCATGGCCCCGAGGGCCCGTGCCGAGGGTTGTATGAGAGTCCGACCTTCGTGGGGTGTGTGCGGGTGTGCGCGCGCTCTGGCAACCTTCCACTCTTCCTTCCAACCTGGGGAGAGCCGCCCGAAGGCGAGCGGTCACTGAGTCTGTGGGTGACCTAAACCCTAAAACCCTAAAACCCCTAAACCCTAAAACCCCAAAACCCTAAAACCCCAAAACCCAAAAACCCCGAAACCCTAAACCCAAAACCCTCCTTGGCTGGAAACCCCAACCCCCAAGCGTCCCGAAGCTCCGGCTTCCTATCCTTCCTGTCCACCCTCCACTGCTGGGATGAAACTGTGCTTGGGGGGTCTGGTTGCTGCGCCTTGGGATGTTCCCCCTTTATACTAACAGTCCTTGATAGGGATTCTGACTAAGGACTGTAGTGCGCACTGGCGTTGGCAGACGCCCTACCGCATGCTGTTCGGGGCTTACCACTACAAGGCGGCCCCCCTAATATTTGGGGCAGGGTCCCTTTTGGGACTGCCCCCTACTGATTAGGGTACCCAAAAAGGGACCATCACTTAGAGATGAGCAAGATCGCAAGGTCCTGGTGGGCACCGTTGCTGAGCCACTCCTCTCAGCAATCCGGGCCGTACTTAGACGTTAGTTAAGTGGGGTTATGAGTAGGGTAACTATGACTATATCTGGTTATAACCTTGTTGAGGGTACTCAACCCCCACTTAGTAGGGTATCTACGACTATAATGGGCTATAACCCTGCTTGGGGTTAGAACTACCCCGTGAACCTTCTCAAGTAACCCTAAACCCTAAACCCTAAACCCTAAATCCTAAACCCTAAACCCTACCCCCATGAACCTCCAAGTAGAGGTTGCAGGCTGGAGCTCGGGCGAGCCTCGACCTTCGAGTCTGTTCAAGCCCTTTTCTTACTTGAAGGTTCCTTGGGTAGCTACATATGTTTAGGGTTTAGGGTTTAGGGTTTAGGGTTGCCTAAATGGGTGGTTGTCAGATTTTTGTCCCTTTTTGGATCCCTACTATAAGACGGCACCTAATATTTAGGGTGCCCCGAAGGGATTGTAATTTTGACATCCACCCATATCTGTAAGGGCTATAAAGTACCCTAAACAAGGTTCATTGGGTAGTTATATAAGGGTTCTCAAGTACCCTAAACATGGCTATACCCAGTGATTACTATCTAAGTTACCCTACATAGTACCCCTTCTGAAAATAACGCACATGAACCTGCAAGTATGCAGTTCGGTCCTTTGGCTTGGCTGCCTCTGCAGCAGCATCCATGTGCCAGGCTTCCCAGAGGGGTTTGATTTTCAGTGTTGCTTGGGACCGCAGGCGCAGGGTTTGGGGTTTAGGGTTTAGGGGCACTTCCACTGCAGAGCCTGCAGCCTAAACCCTAAACCCTAAACCCTAAAACCCTTAAACCCTAAACCCAAACAAAATCTCAATCCACTCATGCAGCAATAACAGCACTAAACCCAGGCAATTCCAAATCTGGACTCGCGACAAGCAGACGACATCTTAGGTTCATCTGGCCGTGGCTTCGTTGGGCTACTAAGTTACTATTTGCTTAAGAACCACCCCCAAAAAGAGAGTATAACAACAATCCTTTGTCCACCCTTATAAGAAACAACACTTTTCATTTTTTGCGGGGTGTGTTCTTAAGCAAATGGGAGTAGGAAGTTTAGGTGCAAGACAACTGCTTAATCTTGCACGATTATAATTCCTTTTGGGGTACCCTAAATATTAGGTGCCGTGTTATAATAGGGTTCCATAAATTAGACCGTAATTTGGACAACCACCCACATGATTCAAGCAGCTTAAGCCATGTCGATCAGGCTCAGGTTTAGGGCATGCGGCTTCGCAGGTAAGGTTCATGTTGTCGCGTTTAGTCTCAGGCAGCGCTTCAACAACAGACACAAGTTGAGGGCTTCCGAAGAACGGAGGAAAGCCTAAACCCTAAACCCTATAAACCCAATAAACCCTATAAACCCTATAGACCCTATAAAACCTATAAAACCTATAAACACTATAAACTCTATAAACCCTATAACCCCTAAACCCTAAACCCTAAACCCTGAACCCTAAACTGAAGCCCGGAGTTGTCATCTTAATTTCCTGGAAGCCACTAAAGCCGGAAAAAGCACAACCCCTAAGGGTCCATGTACCATGTCGTTGTATACTTGGGCCCAAAAGTCCCTAAATCGGAGTCGCTCAAGGCCCAAGTATTCGGGGTACATGGACCCTTCGGGAACTTTTTTGCAGGCATTGACAGTTGGAGCTCCCCCTTAGCGCCGGGGGCCAGCGGACGTGAGAGCACTCGCCTGCAAAGTATAGGGTTTAGGGTTTAGGGTTTAGGGTTTAATTAGGGTTTAATTAGGGTTTAGGGTGTGGGGACTGCTTGGTGCTTCTATGACGTGCTGGCGACTTATTGGTGGATTTGCCGCCTTTTTTGAAGCTGTTGCCAACAACAGTGCACCAACAAACCGAACACGCCGTCCATACAATGGCACACCAGAAGGAGAGAGCGAGAGAGCGAGAGAGAGATAATCGATTAGGCAACCTAGAAAACAAGGTGAATAAGTTTGTTTTCAACACTGGCATCCTGTCCGTTCGCCAGTGTCTGGTGAAGAACTTACCCTAACCCCTAAACCCTAAACCCTATACCCTTAACCCTAAGCCCTAAAACACAAAACCCCAAGAGAAAAAAAGAAAAGATGGGGATTCGGGTTTCAAGAGGAGAAGCTCCAGCCTTCTTCCCTGAAGCCTACATGGGTAGAGATAACTGGGGCCGTAAGGCTCCTAAACAAGGTTATAACTGATTCTGGCTGTAGTTGCCCTACCTAAAACCCTACTTAAGCCTACCAATGAACCTCCAAGTTGACCCCAAAACTAAAACATCCTAAACCCGTACCACCGCCCTTGTGACCGCACTCTGGATCGTGTGGGGACGGATTCAACGAATCGCCGCCTCTCCGCTTGCTGCCGCTGTCACAGGCACCTTGCCGTACTCTTTAGCCCAGGGTTTAAGGCTCAGGATGCTCTGGGAGTAAAATCAGGGCTTCAAGAGGAGGCACACGTGACAGAACGCACATGTTCAGCCCCTCATGACAACTGCTGAGCCGTGGGAACAGGAGTTCGACACAGGCTGCATACATGGCACTTGCAAGAACAGGTAGAGAGAAGCTTGGGAACTTCCATGGGAAATCGTGCCTGGAGGGGAGCCCACAAAACCACAAAACTTGAGACTTTCGTCTAAACCCTCCACCAAGCCCTACAGCCTAAAACCCGAAAACCTAAACCCTAACGTCGCGTGGTGCCTTTCCCTCCTCACTCATGTGGCCCGCGTCGGAGCCTGCCCGGACCTACAGCTGTGTTTGTCTCAGCCTCGCGGTGCTTTCGAGAACAATATTGTGAGCAACAAGGAGCAAAGCTTGGGATGTTCCCCCTTATGCTAACAGTCCTTAATAGGGATTATAGTACCCCCTCGTAAAATCCCTTTAAAGGACTGTTAGTATGAGGGGGAACATCCCCAAGCAAAGCTATTCAAAGCTCGAGATGAGTTGATTATGTTCTTCGGTAAAAGCTAAAACAAAGACTGAAACGAAAGCATTAAAACTACAGCCTAAAACCCCAAAACCCCAAAATCCAGATCTCAGAGCTCTGCCCCACAGAGCTGGCTGAAGGCAGCAGCAGCCAGGCGGCAAGCCGCTCCCTGGGCACGCTGGGCGGGGGAGGGAGTGGGGTTTAGGGTTTTGGTTTAGGGTGTAGGGTGGCGGGTGTAGGGTGTAGGGTGTAGGGTGTAGGGTGTAGGGTGTAGGGTGTAGGGTTTAGGGTTTAGGGTTTAGGGTTTAGCGTGGGGGCATTCTAAGGCTTTTGGTGCCTTTTTGAGGGTTTTTAGAGGGCGTTCTATGGGCTGATATGGAGGTTTGACTTCTTTGGTCTTTGAGGACTTTACAGTTTTTGGAGCTTTAGGGCCCACAGAATTTGATACGTCCCTACGGCCGTTCTTCTGTGTTTGGCTGGGCCCAGAACCTTCATGGCAGGCCAAGAGATTGAGGTTTAGGGTTTAAGGTTCAGGGTTAGGGTTTAGGGTTTAGGGTTTAGGGTTTAGGGTTGCGGGTTTAGGGTTTAGGGTGTAGGGTTTAGGGCTTAGGGCTTAGGGGTTAGGAGTCTTGATGAACCAGTTTGAGAGCTGCCTGGGGACTGAGAGCTGCCTGTTTCCGCTCTCCGGGTCCAATATCGAGGCTGGACACACATGGATATATGCATTTCGAGCTGCGCACGTGTGTACATCTGTATGTATACGTATACATATGATTATACAATATGAATAAATCAAAAACAAACAAACCCAAATACAATTATAGGAACATATATATATATATATATGTA